AGGACTGTTGTAACAGTCAGGGCGAGATGTGACGGTGGCCCAGCCCAAGGTGGCAGCTGGGAGAAGTGGATGGATTCTGGATAAGTTCTGAAGTTGAGCTGACAGGATTTCTGAGGAATTGGGGGAGAGGTGAGAGAGACAGAGGAGTCCATATGACTCTGAGGTTCTTGGCCTGAGCAGCCGGAATGAAGGAGCTGCCTTCCCTCGAGATGGAAGAAGCTTGTGCGGGGAGAGCAGCAGCTCGACTTCGGGCGGATTGCGTTTGACTGGTGGAGACACGGAGGAGGCAGGTGGATATAGGCGTCTGCAGACGGGAAGCCAGGCTGCAGCTTTAAAGGATAATACCCATTTTATAGGTGAGGAAAGTGAGGCTCACACAAGCCAGGGGACACACTTGTTAAGCTGGGGAACTGGGACCCAGGTCTCTCTGGCTCTGGCCCACTGCCCTGTGCCGCCCTGCCCAACCCCGCATGCCTGGCAGCAGGGGCTGTGGAGGGAAGCCCAGCGCGGCCCTGGCTGGCTTCCTTGTCTCCAGGGCTGAGCCAGGCTGAGGTGGTGGGGGGCTGCTCACCAGGAAGTGGCCTGTGTTTGGGTGCGGCACAGAGGGACAGTGCCAAGTGGCCTGAGGCGCCAGTAGCTCTGTGAGCGTAGCTGGCCCGGCCTGAGGCCATTATCTGACCAGCAGAGCCATTCGGTCAGCATCGATTGGCTGAGAGGAGCATCTGGCAAGGCTGGGGTGGGGGGAGCTCTGCCCGGTTCACAGGGAGGGCAGGTGCAGAGCCACGTGGCTATCGGTCTCCGAGACCCAGGGAGCCCCATGGGCCTGCCCGGGGACCATGGGGATGCCAGTGCATCGGGCTGCTCCTGGGCAGGTGTGTGGAGGGGGAGCCCCTTTGGGGCCAGGTGCTGTCAGATTTAGGTCAGTGTGAGGCCTGAGACCTTGGGGTCAGAAAGGGCTGCCCAGCCCTCAGACGGGGCTGCCCTGCTCTCCCCGTGCAGCATGGAGTATCTGGATTTGGAGTCAGTTGGCGAGGCCTGTGCCACTGCCTGGCTCACCAGCTGTGTGGCCTTGGCCAGCCACTTCCCTTCGTGTTCTACCTGTCTCCCTCCATGAAATGGCAGGGCACCCATGGGGTGTTGTGAGGATTCCATGTAAGGAACCTGGCACACGCTGAGGGCTGGATCTTCCTTGCTTAGTTCCCTTCCTGCTGCCCAAAGTGGGGAAGGTGCATGGCCCCTGCCACGCTGGCCTTCTAGCCTTGCTGGAGTGGGAGCCCTGTCAGTGCTGGTCCCAGGGGGCGCTGATTGGCTTCCCCAGCCCAGCTGAGCTGGTGTTATAGCCTCTTTGGGAGCTCTGGCCACTTAGAGGCTAAGAGAGGGGCCAGGGTAAGATGGGGGCCTGTCACCTGCTTCCCTACCTCGGTGCTTTTTCACATGCCCTTCCCACCATCCCACCAGGTCCTGCACATCCTAGGAATGGGCTGCTGAGTGGATTGGGTGAGGTGCGTGCCCATGCCCACCTCTGTCCCAGCAGGTGAGAGGTTTTAGCGTTTGCAGAAAGAACAATACTGGCTCTTTATTCCTGCACATCCTCTGTGCTGGCAGGGTAGTAGAGGGCTTCATGGAGGAGGTGACATGAGGGCAGCAGGAGCCCTCCCTGAACTTCCCCCACACCCCTAGGTGCCTACTTTGGGACTGGCACCTGGCCAGACTGCCTAGTATTGTGAGACCCCCTATCTGCTAGTCCATGAGCACCTGCCCAGTTCACCCAGGTCTCTCCCTACCCTGGCATCCTGGATACTCCAGGACTCTGGCAGCAAGTGTTGAATGGAGGAAGGAATGAATGAGGCTGCAGAGAACCAGGTAAGCTCAGATACGTGGGAGGCCAGGAGGTTTGGGAGTAGCTGAGCAGAGCAGTCAGTCGGGTGCATGCCCCTGGAGGAAGAGGAGGAGAGCCTGAGGAAGGCCAGAGACTGGGGACACCCAGCCTTGCTTTCTTCAGCCCCCTAAGGCAGAGCAACCCCTGCCTTACCAAGAGGAGCCTGAGGAGGCTGATGGGAGGGGGTGCAAGGCTCCTCCATGCAGACTCGGATCCCTGCTAATTTGCAGTCTTAAAATGCACAGCAAAGGCACCAGCCTCCTTGTTAGTGCATTAATCAGCAATCAGTGGGTTGAGGCTCCCATGGGCACGCGGAGAGGGCACAAGAGGAGTCTCAGCCATGCAGTGCGAACCTCCGGCGTGGTGACAGTCTAGGGCCAGGGAACCCACTGGCTCAGGAAAGGGGTGCTGGAGGTTGAGGTGAGGTTGTCTGGGAGGGCTGGTCCAGGGCTTTGGAGATGGGACCAGCTTCCAGAGTGAGTAGACTCAGCTGAGACCCACTCCAGTGTCCAGTGGGAGGGGGCAGCTTCCGTGGCATGGGCCCCCTGGCATCTGAGCAGTAATAAAAGGTGGATATTGGCTGGGATCCCTACCTCTCCTTGAGGATGAGTGTAGGTCCAGTCCAAGCATTGGCTGGGCTCTCTGCCTCCTTCTGGGCCCCTCTCAAGAGGATAGGCGTAGGTCCAGGGCTCCTGCCCTGGGTCCTGCCTTCACCCTGCCCCCTGTTATTTGACCCCCTCCCATCTGTCAAAGTGTGTTCACACATCAGTTGCTAAGCTCACACCTAGATTTTTGGGCATTTGGCTTTTTTCATCCAAACAAGGGTCTTCACTGGTTTCCCCTGTGCTCCCAACATCTCCTGGAGGCACCTGAGGAAGGAGTGTTGCTCTCTGTGGCTCCCCCAGCTTCTCTGGACATCATGTCAGATAACCCCTTCCCAAAACCTTAAAAAGACAGAGCAACAACAGCAGGCAGAAGGGCTGTCTGCCCCCCACCCCCCAGGTTATGGGGCAGGAAAACCCCTCACCCTCCACCCCCACACAGGGTAATTCTGAGGATCAGAGCAGCTTGAGCAGAAGTGCTTTGTCAACTCTGTAAGCTGCACAAATGTCAAGTGGCATTAGCACTGAGCCTGTCCCAGCTCACCCGGGTCCCCATGGTGAGCAGCTTAAGGGAAGGAAATGCCTTTGTCTTTGTAGGACCCTTGAGATGGGTGGTTGTATGGCCCTGTGTGACCCACAAGTACAGGTTCATGGCCATGGCCCTGCCTCTTCAGCACAGAGACCATCATGAACTTCCTTGAGCTGGGAGGGGGTCCTGAGCTTCCTCACAGTGGCAGGATGAGGTCTGCATCCCCAGGGCAGGGTGCCTGGGAGACAGCAGCCTGGGCAGGGGTGAGGAGTGGAGCTGAGCAAAGGGAAAGGGGGTGTCAGGTGCAGCTCTGGAAGGTGCAGCCAGTGTGGGTTGGGCCTTCCTCCCAGCCCTGGGTGTTGGAGGCTCAAGGCAGCAGGCAGGTTCCCCAAGAGTCAGCAGGGGTTTGGGGTCCAGGTTCCTATGCCTTACTCTCCTACCTCTCCCTGTGGGGCCGGGGTCTGCTGGCCAGACTGAGGTGGGCAGCGGGGAGCTGGAGGTCAGACACAAGCCTCCACAGGGGTGGCATGGCTATCACTTACTCATGTTACAGATGGGAAACAAGCCGAGGAGGCAGGCGCACGCACCCGCCTGGGGCCTGGCCTGCTGTCCAGTGGTCACAATGACTGAAGGCACTGCAGGGGCTGCACAGAGCAGGGCTTGCCCCAGAAAGGGTCCCCACAGCCGCACTGCCACCACCACCACCACAACAGAGGTTATAATTGCTCTGAAATCGTAATCAAACCCAATTATGCAAAAACCAAATTATTTGCGATAATTTTTATGTGTTGGAAACGTTAGATCGAAGCTGGGTGATTACAGGGGGACGGGAAGCAGCTGCCACTCTCTGGGAGCCCATAACTCCCAACAGCTGGGAACTGTCACTTAGTTACGATGCCATTTTTGCCAGAAATGAAGGGTGGCAGTGGTGGAGAGCCTTGCCTGAGCCTGGGCAGGCAGCCTTGGAGCCTGGCTGGGTGGCCAGCATGAGGACGGGAGCAGGGCCTGCCCAAGAGTGGCTGGGAGGGTTGGTTCTCTCTCATTCTGCACACTCTGGGCACAGCTGGCAGCAGGAAGAACCGTCAGAGCTGCCCCAGGCCCCCAGCTCCCCAGAGAGGCCTGGCTGGCCAAGCTGGAAGGGCAGGGCAGGAGGCCAACTCGGGCAGTGACGAGCCTGGAGCCTGTCCCCCGAACACGGGCGCGCCTGCCGGGCTACCGGGGGCAGCTATGACCCCGGAAAAAGGCAGGTAATGACTATCGTCCATAATGAGGCTGCTCCGATAATGAGCATGGGGCTATTATCCGACCACAGGCTGGACACATCCGAAAATAAATTATTTTAAGGATCCATTAACGAATGCCTAATTAATGCCCAATTAGAGGGAAGCTACAGAGAAGACGCCCCGGACAGTCTCGCGGCAAGGCTTGGTTTGCAACCACAGCCTGGGAGCTGGAGTGAGGTGGGGAGAGGGGAGGAGCCAGAGGTGCACTTGAATGGGGGATGGGGGGGCAACAAGGGGGGACACAGCTGCTTCTGTCTGGGAGCTTCATGGGCCCCAGGGCCTTGCCAGCCTTTGTACCTCCCCCAGTTGTTTGCATACCTGTGTCTTCTCTGTACCTCTTCACAGCTCAGTGAGGGACAACTATCACTACTTAGAAATGAGAAAACTGAGACACAGAGGGGTGACACGTAGTTGAGGATGTGGGAGGCACTGTAAATGAGACATCTTTTGAAATCAACTTTGGTGTCATGCATGCATGCATGTTTGCTTGTTATGGGAAATAACTTAAATAAAGAAACTCCTAAGAATTCCATATGAGATATTTACTTGGTTAGAACAGGAGTCTGCACCACTGTGTGCTCACACAGGTAACAACGAGAAAGTGGCAGAGCTGGGACAGGAACTGGAGTCTGGCTGCTGGGTGACCCTCACCCCAGCAAGGCTGGCAGAGCCTGAGGAGGTGGGGCTAGGAGGTTGGGGGCGGGACTATGGAGTATGAGTGGGAATCAGAGCCTTCACACTCACAGCCCTGGCTGGGGAGAAAACCCCCAGTAGAGGTAAGGTGTTAGGGTGGGGGGATCAGTATCTAGCCCCAGATGGGGGCCTGGCTTGGGCCTGACCCCTGCCTTCATCCCATCAGGAGCCGGGCCTCCAGGGGGGCCACCATCCTAGACAGCTGAACACAGCAGACAAGACAGTGCCCCAGCAGGCCGAGGAGGGTCACCTGCGGCTGGTCCTCCCTGTCTCCAACGGGGATGTCTCCCGCCTCCGCCTCCGGGACAGCCTCTGACCTGGCTGTGCTCTCTCCCACCAGGGTGCTGTGTGGAGCTGCTGCTGCTGCTGCTGGCTGGAGAGCTGCCCCTGGGCTGCAGCTGCCCGCGGGACTGCGTGTGCTACCCGGCGCCCATGACCGTCAGCTGCCAGGCACACAATTTCGCTGCCATCCCGGAGGGCATCCCGGAGGACAGCGAGCGCGTCTTCCTGCAGAACAACCGCATCACCCTCCTCCGGCAGGGCCACTTCAGCCCCGCCATGGTCACCTTGTGGATCTACTCCAACAACATCACCTTCATCGACCCCAACACCTTCGAGGGCTTCGTGCACTTGGAGGAGCTGGACCTCGGCGACAACAGGCAGCTGCGGACGCTGGCGCCCGAGACCTTCCAGGGCCTGGTGAAGCTCCACGCCCTCTACCTCTATAAGTGCGGGCTCAGCGCCCTGCCCCCGGGCATCTTCAGCGGCCTGCACAGCCTGCAGTACCTCTACCTGCAGGACAACCACATTGAGTACCTGCAGGAAGACATCTTTGTGGACCTGGTCAACCTCAGTCACCTGTTTCTCCACGGCAACAAGCTGTGGAGCCTGGGCCAGGACACCTTCCGGGGGCTGGTGAACCTGGACCGGCTGCTGCTTCACGAGAACCAGCTGCAGTGGGTCCACCACAAGGCTTTCCACGACCTCCGCCGGCTCACCACCCTCTTCCTCTTCAACAACAGCCTCTCCCAGCTGCAGGGTGACTGCCTGGCACCCCTGGGGGCCCTGGAGTTCCTCCGCCTCAATGGGAATGCCTGGGACTGTGGCTGCCGGGGGCGCTCCTTGTGGGAATGGCTTCGGAGGTTCCGTGGCTCCAGCTCTGCTGTCCCTTGCGCGTCCCCTGAGCAGCGGCAAGGCCAAGACCTGAAACTGCTGAGTGCTGAGGATTTCCGGAACTGCACCGGGCCAGAATCCCCACACCAGATCAAGACACACACGCTCACCACCACCGACAGGGCCGCCCGAAAGGAACATCACTCGGTCTGGGGCCCCACCAGGGACAAGGGCCACCCACCTGGCTCCCGGTCGGGCTACGGGAAGCCAGGCAAGAACTGCACCGGCCACAGGAATCGCAGCCAGGTCTCCAAGGTGGGTGCCGGGAAGCAGACCCAGGAGCTGCAGGACTACGCCCCTGATTACCAGCACAAGGTCAGCTTTGACATCATACCCACCGGGCGGCCCAAGAGGAAGGGCAAGTGTGCCCGCAGGACCCCCATCCGGGCCCCCAGCGGGGTGCAGCAGGCCTCATCCGGCAGTTCTCTGGGGGCCTCGATCCTGGCCTGGATACTGGGGCTAGCAGTCACTCTCCGCTGAGGACCCAGGGCACCAGCACCCAGCACTGCCACATGTCCACCAAGGAACAGAATTTCTTTTCTTTTTCTACAAGTGGAGGATCTGCTGGGTTTCAGGCAGAGCCTGGTAAAGGCTTCGGCTGCTGTCTGGGCCCTGCCTGGTGGATTATAAACCCAAAGTGTACAGCCCCAAGCAGGAGAGGATTAGCACGCCTCACCCAGCTGTCCCAGCCAGCCCTCGCCCAGCAGCCATGGACAGCATCCAGCCAGCAAGGCGGTTCAAGTGCTCAGACAGAATCCTTCCTTGGCAACAATGGGACTATGCCCCACGGGAGCTGAGCTCTGTGGAATCCTGGTTATTTGGAGAGGTCTGAAGAGCTCCCGCCATTCTTGGAGGAAGCAGGACTCAGAGGAACAGATGATGCTCATGCAAGAGGCTGGGTGACCGGCCATCTAGGTGGCATTTTAGCTTTTGCCTGACGTCACTTAGTCAACCTGCCCTGAATCCAACAGTGTGCCACCTTCAGTCCCTTCCCTGGGGTGACACCTCTCATTCCTGATGTCTCAGGCAACCCTGGCACACTCAGCCCAGACCCTGGGCTCCAAGAACCAGTTACCAAAGGAAAGATCATCAGAGGCTGAAATTTAGAACTTCATCATGTGCAATGAGGTTCTCACAGGAGGTGCAGTTTTATAACTATGTCCACTTATATATATACACACTCTACATATATATATATACACACACACGAAGACACAGGTCCCCTGCCCCACACCCTTACCAAACTGTACGTCTTCTTATGTTTATAAAGTATACGGAAAGCTATATCTTCTGAATTAAGGATTGTATTGGTGATTTCTAGCAAGAAAAGAGTTATAAGATTTTTGTCTAGAATCCAAACCTGCAACAACAGTCCCCATGTAACCTAGGCTTGCCCGGGACCATAGGCAAATGGTCAGTGGGGAGGGTCAGTGAGAAGGGGAGGCAGCAAGAATCACATCAGGGGACCAATATTCTTAGGTATTTAGAGCATCACCTTGTTTTTATATGCAACACAAGCCCATCTGCTGCCCTGGAGCACCATCACCCCCACTATAGTAACTGTTGGCGTCAGGGTGAGAAGTGAGAATCAGCTTGTTGGACATCAGGGAGCCAGGTTCTGGGGACAGGCTGGCTGGAGAAAGGGAGGGAAGGAGCTTTGGGTTTCTTAGGTCATTGGGTGAAGCAGCCTTCACAGTGTTAGTTCAATAGGCTGGGCAGTGTCATCAGCCTAGCGTGTTGCCAGCAATGGTCTCGACAGGCCAGAGCGACTCTGGGCATGAGCCCAGGCCTCCAGCACAGCTTAACTGCTGAATTTTTCCTTGGGGCTCTTTGATGGGCGTCCCAGCAAGGGCTCTGTGTAGGGTGGCAGGAGGGAAAGGACAGGTGGCCTTAGCAGAAGGGAAACAGTGAGGGCATTTCAAGAACCATCTCAGGCACTTCTGCCTTGGGGAGGCCCTGTCCCTACTGGCCCTTCTGAAGATGCCGGGGTCAGGCAGAGGTCAGGTGGCCAGACTCAGGCATCGGGAGCGGGGATGTGCAGGGACTAACGCAGGCGAGCCCAGGTAGGGGACAGGGGCTCCGGTCAAGGTCAGCCATGCTGTTGGCTGGAGCCTGGTTGGGCACAATCTCTTTTGCGCTTTGCACAAACCTGAATCCCCAACCAGAGAGGATGTATATGAGGAGCAAGAAATACTGAATCCAATTAAGAGAGAAAAATAATAATAAAAAAATTTTCTCTTGGACAAGAACCCTGTTTCTCATTTCCTAACCCCGCATTCCTGAAGGGGTGACAGATCCCAAGCATTTGTGGGTGGGCGAGCCTGGCTGGGCACAGCTCTGAGAACACAGCGTGTTTGTTGGCGGGAGGAGCTGTATGGGGCAGGGGCACACTGACTCACTGGGATGCATGGGCACATGCGTACACGCACACGCACACGCACACGCACACACACTTCTTGTTCGTCCCATGGTTCTTTCCTCGCCCGCACAGAACATGACTCACTTCCACACTCTGGCTGTGCTGGGTCGGCACCATCTCCGTGGCCTTCCCCAGAGCAGGCTAGGTGGACCCTTCCCGGCCTGTTCCTAAGGGCCTCACCACCAGCAGCCGAGCTATTGATTCTTAGGGGGTTCTGGGGTGGCTGGAAAGGAATTGCCAGTTCCTGGAGCCCAGAGGGATTTCCAGGAGTTCAGGGACCAACCCAGACAGCAGTGGACTGGGTCTGGAGGTTGCACCTGCCTCTCTGGCCTTGGAGAAAGGAGAGATTTCTCAAATAGAGGGAAGAGGGCTGTGTTTGTTTTCAACCCTCACCTGAAGATATGTGTTACTGATTTTAGAGAGAGGGAAAGGGAAAGAGAGAGAGAGAGATGTATGAGAGAAACACCAGTCGGTTGCCTCCTGTATGTGCCCCCACTGGGGATTGAACCTGCAACCTAGGTATATGCCCTGACCTGGAATCGAACCAGCAACCTTTTAGTATCTGGAACAATGCTCCAACCAACCGAGCCACACCGGCCAGGGCAGGGCTGTGTTTTCAGGTCTAGACAAATCCTCCTCCCTACAAGGCTTGAAATGGGCACTAAAGGGAGTCCACCAAGGGCGGAACAAATTGTCTTTGGCCTGTGGTTGTTCCCTGATGGCGTGCCTGCTCTTACCCAGGCCAGTGTCAAAGCCTGACTGTCCCTTAGAACCCAAGGATGTTGTTGAGTTGTTGATTTCATTTCCAATTTTAGATAGCAAAACCCTCAGTGGGAAAATCAAGAGTCCGAGCACTTTATTAAATTTTTTAAAAAAGACTTAGTAAGTCCCTGTAATATGGAAGTGAAATGTCAGAATGAGAAATGCTAATGTTCTATAAATGATCCACTTCTGTTAAGCACAGTGCAGTCTCTGGATGCCGACGGTTATTAGGGGCAAGGCAAAGGGGTCCAGGACGCCCGGTGTATGTATGTTTAGCAGCTTCTCTAGCAGGTCGAGGGAATAAAAGCAGTTCTGCTGTGGATGACATCACTGTCACTCAGCAGGTCACATGCCACCCAGTTATGACACCATTGCCCAAAACACCACAGCAAGTTGACAAGTCAAGGGCAAAGGGGAGGCCCCAGCGTCCCTCCTGGGTGGTTCAGGGAAGGGAGGTTCCTGCCCCTGGAAGTCTGTCTTCCCAGTGGCAGAGGTCACTCCTTTGTTCCTGATGGGGCCAGCCCTTCTGCCATCTTTGCTCAGCATTTGCCCTAGGCCCTGAGAGAAAGCCACCTCCTCTTCTCCCTCTCTCCACTCCAGCCACACAGTCCTCCACTCTGAGCCGTGACCTGAAGGAGGGGCTGGGTGGCCACTGGTGGTCTGAATCTCTTCACACAAGCTCCTCCCGTGACCCAGAGCTCTGCTGGCTCCCTACACTTCATTCAACAAGTGCTGAACAAGCCGATGTGTGCCCGTGATTGGTCCAGGCTCTGGGGACCTAAAAATGAGAAGACATGGCTCTTCTTCAAGGAGTTTGGAGCCTAAATGTGGAAACGGGTATAGGTTTGGTGAAACCAGTGTGGGATTGTTGCCTCTGCTAGTGCACACCCCACCCCGCAGTGAGAAACTCACCTGGGGTGGGGCAGTCAGGGAGGGCTTCCAGGAGGAGGTGACACTCCATGGCTCTCAGAGGATGAGGTGGCCAGAGAAGAATGTGGGGCAGAGGGCTGGAGGCATGCAGTAGCATCGCATTTGGGGTATCAGCAAAGAGCTGTAAGTTGAGGACTGGGAAAGCTGTTTGGGGAGGTGCAGGAGGCAGGTCTGGCAAGTAGAAGTCCCAGAAAGCCTACAGAGGAACTTGGACTTTACTCTAAAAGTGGAGATGTGTCCCCCCACTTGAGGTCCTCTTCCCTACCCCGCACCCCCATTCCCTCTCCAAGCACATGGTCCCCACCAGTGCCATGCTTGCCAATGTTCCTCAACAGTGGGTTTCATCATCGCAACTTGCCTCTTCTGCTCAGCCAGATCCTTTCCCCGTGCCAGCAAGCTGGAGCGCTCCCTGGAAATCTGCCCGGGCCAGAGTCCCATTCCCAGACACCTGCTGCTTCCAAGCTCGGAAAGTATCCCATGCCGCCTTGTTCCCTGCGCTCCGTTCCTCCCAGCCACATAGGGCTCAGCCCTCAGTCCCTCTCCTTGCTTCCAAGCACAGCTGCCCAAGCGCCCCCTCAGCCACCTTCAGTGGGCCTGCTCTGGCTGACTGTCAGTGATCCCCGAACCTCCCAAACTGCATCTCCCCCCTTTTCTCTCCTGCTAGGGCTGTTCATTACCCGGGAGCCAAGAAGCCCATTTAGCAAATGTTTGCTCACCATCTAACTAATCACTCAGCACTCTGCCGCCATGGCAAACGGGGTTCCAGAAGGCCTGTTGGTAGATTTAAGGGGGCAGGGGGCAGGGGGGCAGGATGGCTTCTTGGAGGACGAGCTGCAGGCCTTGCATCAGAGACAGCACATTTTCTGGGACGGCTCCCTGGCCCTGGCTGGGAGCCTCAGGGCCTCAGGAGTTCCCAGCAAATCCTTCCTGATATTGTCACCAACCCCCAGGCTGTCCCCACCTCTGGGACCCAGCTCCTCAGGGCCCTACTCAACACTGACCTAGAGGACGCCAGCCTTTCTCTGCACATTCTCTGATGGACCAGGGGCAGGTGCACGGGGCCCTGGCCAGCATCTACTGTTAAGCCCCTGACCTGGCTGTGATCGCCTCCTGGTCCATCTCCCAGCCAGGTTCTCCGGCCTCACCTCCCTCTAGAAGTAGGAGTTTAACCCATCAGCCGTTACTCCATCGCCCTGTCACCGATACCCCACTCTCAGCTCAGAATGGGCTCATTTTCTTTTGCCTTCTGTCTACTTGGAAAATATCTCAAGAACCTTTGGTTGTGCGTTAAAATATCCTTTACAATTCTATGCTCCGTATCTCTTCCTGCTCCTCAAATTGTCCCTTTCTCATTGCGCTTTTGGTATAAATCTCCTAGTCTCCTTCTTTGCAGGCTGTTAATAAATACAAGCTCTTAAAAATATACGTAAACATCTATCGTTGGCTAAATAACTCACAGCACAATCAAAAAGCCATGGAAGCCCCGGCCGGGCGTGGCTCAGCGGTTGAGCGTTGACCTAGGATCCAGGCGATCGGGGTTCGATTCCCGGTCAGGGCACATGCCCGGGTTGTGGGCTGCAGCCGATCAATGACTCTCTCATCATTCATGTTTCTATCTCTCTCTCTCCCTCTCCTTTCCTCTCTCTGAAGTCAATAAAGATATATTAAAAAAAAAAAAGCCATGGAAAAGGGGAGGCTAGGAGCAATGCACGCCCCCCAGCTCTCTCTCACCCAGGCTGTCCTCACTGTCCTTTCTGAAGAGGGCTACTGGACTCAGGGTAGTTTATGGCTCTAAAAAGTCCACTGGGTGAGGGGACCGAGGATGCCCCAGGGGAGAAAGAGAAGAAAAGAGAGCAGCTATAGTGCCATGTCAACAGGTTCCCTTCAAGAGCAATGAGGGAGGAGGAAGGATAGAAGGGACCCTGTGCAGGGAGCAGTGGCTAATTCAGGTGGCATTTCAGCGAGCTGGTCCACAAGCCCCTCTCCTCTAAAACAAATGGCTCAGCCTCCTCCGAGATCCACACTGATGTGGCCTGCCCCCCATCCCTCGCCTTTCAGCTCTCATTTCTCATTAGAGCCATCAGTTTCTAAGCATGGGGAGGGTGGGGAAGGCTGTGCCTTTTGTCACCAGTTTCTGTGTGGCAGCATGCACACTAATGGCATGCCTGAATGGCAGAACTGGACACTGCTGCTGCAAAATACGCTTGGGTCACGGGCTTTCCAAATTGGCTGAGGCTCCACGCCGCCCCCCCTTTCACCCGGGCACCCGGGGTGGGGCTCGGGGGCTGCCAGCAACAGCTTCTGCTGCTCCCGCTCAGGGCCTCAGAAAAGAGAGAGGAAGCGAAAGATGTATTAAACTCCTCAATCTCTGTAAGTACCATTTCCCAGGGGACAGGCTCTAAGGAAGAAGGAAATGCAAGTGCTCAGGACCTAAAGAGGTGGGAGGCCTCTGAGGCAACCGGCTCCATATTCCTTACACACACACACACACACACAAAAAAAACACACACACACTCACACACACTCATACACACACACACACACACACGGCTTCAGGGATCATCAGGTGCAGGACGTGGTGCCCTCTGAGGGGCAGCTGACTGGAGATTGAGAAATCCAGGTGGCTGCTCACCGCTCCAGCCAGAGAGAAATGCGAGATATAATCTAAATAAGCCTTTGTCAGTGATGTGGGGCCAGGGAGACAAACCCACAGAGGAAGAGCTGCAAGGGGCAAGGTCAAGCACGGACTGGGGAGGCAAGGAAAGGGGGAGTCTGAACAAGACTCCAAAGAAGGCACACATACAGTGCCACCTGGAGAAAGCAAGCACAGCCCCACAGGGCAGTCACACAGCCAGAGTCAGAGGCAGGGAGAGACACAGACAGGCAGGAGGGTGCAAGGAGGAGAAAGAGCCATTTAAAAAATATATATGTCTTTATTGGTTTCAGAGAGAGGAAGGGAGAGGGAGAGAGAGAAAAATATCAATGATGAGAGAGTCATGGATTGGCTGCCTCCTGCACGCCCCCTACTGGGGGTCCAGTCCAAAACCCGGGCATGTGCCCTGACCCGGAATCTAACTGCAATCTCCTGGATCATAGTTCAATGCTCAACCACTGAGCCCCGCCAGCCCCGCGAGAGAG